ATCTAGATATATAAAGTAAACTCAATCGTAAACACGATCGTCTGATTATTTAGCTTGCTTGGTTCCGTAGCACCAAGTAGATAGATCTAATACAAAAATTTGTGAGACTTTAAATCTTAGGCCAGGAGGGTAGATCTAGACATGGATCGATTCATCCAGAGAACCCTTAGGGGTCGTTCAAATATAATCTTACGCCTGGAAAAGGTCTAAAAAGGGAGGGGGGGGTGTCTTGATTCCTGTAAAAGAAAAGTGTAAGAAGGGGGGGGGGGGTCTTGAACCAATGTAATTTTCACTTATGTAAGGTGAAATAATAACAAGGAAAATAATTTATGACAACATAATATTTAATAATATTATATATAATATGACCCTGAGGTACAACGTGCATGCAAACATGAGCAATTACGTTTGACATACGGTGTTATTAATTGGGAATAACCAAGAAGAGATAATGAGTTTTAAAAAACAGCCCAAGTAAAATCAGATAATGGCAATGAAAATGATCCTGAAAAGGGACTTTGAGTGAAGAGAAGCCTTTTGAAACAAAATAACTTCCATTCAGATGAGAGAAAAAGTAAGACAGACAGACAGAAAGAACTGACAGAAGGAAAGGAAAAAAGTTGGACCTACTATTTGTTTGTTTGTTTGAGTAGGTGTTTTACGGCACTCTCGATTCAGTTTTGTTCATAGGACCTACTTCTAGGGGCGCTCTCCAATCACTCATGATAAAAAGAGGAATGAACATGAATACCTAGCCAATAATACAAACAAATAACTCGTAAAATAAATTCAACACAGTAAATTTATTAAACATGTTTTTCTGCTGCCCGCACAAAAGGAGCTCTTTGCACAGTTCTGAAAAGTCCAAAAGACAGGTAAACTGACATACCTAGTACATAATATCAATGACAGTTCAGACAACCTTTTTACACCTTCAATCATGCCGCTGTCACTGAAACTTCTCCCTCAGACAAACTAAAAAGTGTTCTGAGGGGTCAACAATAAGCGGTCAGATGTAAGTCATTATATGAGGCCTAAGAGTCAACAACGAGAGGTCGGAGTTAATTCAAGACATGAATAATAAATAAAGGGTCAATAACATGGGGTCGGACAAACGGTAAATTTCTAAAAGGTCAAGCAGGGTCGGACTGAAGTCAGGACATGAGTTCTGAGGGTCAACAACGAAGGAACGGACTAAAGTTAAATTTATAAATGGTCAATAACAAGGCATCGAGGCTAAGTCAAGACATGAGTCTTGAGGGTCAACAACGTGGGGTCGGACTAATGGAAAATGTATAAACAGTCAACAACGAGGGATAGAGGCTAAGTCAAGACATGAGTCCTCCTGAGTGTCAACAACATGGTGTCGGACTAAAGGCAGAGTTATAAATTATCAATAACGAGGGGTAAGGGTTAAGTCAAGACATGAATCTTGACGGTCAACAACATGGTGTCGGACTAAAGGCAGAGTTATAAATTATCAATAACAAGGGGTAGGGGTTAAGTCAAGACATGAATCTTGACGGTCAACAACATGGGGTCGGACTAAAGGAAAAGTTTTAAATTATCAATAACGAGGGGTAGGGGTTAAGTTAAGACATGAATCGTGAGGGTCAATAACGTCGGGTCGGACTAAAGGAAAAGTTTTAAATTATCAATAACGAGGGGTAGGGGTTATGTTAAGACATAAATCTTGAGGGTCAATAACGTGGGGTCGGACTAAAGGAAAAGTTTTAAATTATCAATAACGAGGGGTAGGGGTTATGTTAAGACATAAATCTTGAGGGTCAATAATATGGGGTGGACTAAAGGAAAAATTCTAAAGGCTCACTCAGAGGGGGCAGACCAAAGTCAAGACATGAGTCCTGAGGGTCAACAACATGGGGTCGGACTAAAAGAAAAAATCATAAATGGTCAACAACGAGGGGTCAGAGCTTAGTCAATAGGGTCAACAACAGGGGGTTGGATTGAAGGTCAAATTCTATAGTGTCACCAAGAGGGGACGGATCAAAGTCAAGACATGTGTTCTGAGGGTCAACAACGAGAAAAAGGATAACAAGCACAGTTATATAAACGGTCAATGACGAGGGGTAGGGGTTAAGTCAAGAAATGAACCTTGAGGGTCAACAACGTGGGGTCGGACTAAAGGCAAAGTTTTAAATTATCAATAACGAGGGGTAGGGGTTAAGTCAAGAAATGACATTGAGGGTCAACAGCAAGGGGTCGGACTATATGCAAAGTAATATTATAGTCAACAATGATGGGTTGGAGCTTATTCAAGGCATGAGTCTTGAGGGTCAACAACGTGGGGTCGGACTAAAGGAAACATTTTTAATAGTCAACAGCGAGGGGTTGGAGCTTAGTCGTTAGGGTCAACAACATGGGGTGGGATTGAAGGTCAAGGTCTAAAGGGTCACCAAGAGGGGACAGATCGAAGTCAAGACATGAGTTCTGAGGGTCAACAACGTGGGGTCGGACAAAAGGCAAAGTTATAAGCGGTCAATAACGAGGAATTGGGGTTAAATCAAGACATGAATCTTGAAGGTCAACAACGTGGGGTCGGACTAAATGTAAAGTTCGAAAGGGTCACCAAGAGGGAAAAGACTGAAGTCAAAACATGTGAGGCCTGAGGGTCAACAACGTGGGGTCAGAATATTAATAATAACAATGCTGATCATTTCTATAGCACCCACTCCTGTGTGAACACAGCTTTAGGCGCTTTACATGTACAAACTATTTTCCCACTCGCATACGTGCGCACGCACTCCCCCCCCCCCCCCACACACACTCACAATCACGCATACATTACATGCACACACATCTACTTGCTTATCACACGTTACAAAATGAGCACATACACATACATAATAGAATAATAAACACTATGCAGTTCGCAAAATACATAAATGGATACATAGTCATTTACATAAACATTGTACTGAACATGAATCTACTGACATAATGATTTCATTAAATGTGCCTTTAAAGATATTTTAAATTTAGACTCAGATGCGGTATGTCTCAAGGGTTGGGGGAAGAGGGTTCCAAACTGATGGAGCGAGGAAGGCAAACGACCTGTCAGCTATTTTTTTAACTCCCTTTCTGGGACTCTTAAAAGATAATGATCGCCTGATCTTAGTGATCTAGAGTTTGGAGCATAAATTTGGAGGAGATCACTGATGTATGAGAGAGTTTTATTATTGACACATTTATGATATAATGTTGTAATTTTATATGCTATTCTTGCTGACAAAGGGAGCCAATGCAACGTTCTTAACATGGGGAGTAAAGTGATTCCTCTTCTTTTTCTTTAGTACTAGCCTTGCAGCTTGATTTTGAAAATGTAACTTGTGAAGAGTGGTATTTGGTATGTTAGTTAATAAAGCACTGCAATGATCGAAGCGTGAAAAAGATGACGCGAGCGTTTTCAATGAGCCTTAATCATTCAAAAGCAGATATATGACAAAAGAAAAAGTTTTAAGTGATCAACAACGATGGGTTGGAGCTAAGTCAAGACATGAGTCCTGAAGGTTAACAACGTGGGGTCGGACCAAAGACAAAGTTCTAAACAATCAACAATAAGGGATTGGAACTAAGTTAATAAGTCCTACTAAAGGGTCACCAAGAGGGGTTGGAGCTAAGTCAAGGAACGTGGGGTCAAAGTATAGCTCTAACAGGTTAACAAAAAGGGATCAGAATAAAGTTCCAAAGCTTTTACAAAGAGGGGCTGGAGTAAATCTCCAACAAAAACATGAAGACCTGAGTATATACACTGTGGCTGTTGAACCATTTTCTTACAGTAAACAAGCTTTTCATTGTTTAAAAAAAAATAATTTTTGCGCTATACTATAAAGGCTTTCAATTTTGTTGAATCAGTCGACTTCAGACTTTTCACAACTCCAAAGTTCAAGTTAAGAAAATACTGGTGGTATCAGAACGTCTACCACAGAAGGTCAAAGGCCAAACTAACAGCTTGCAGCGCTTGTTTATTTATTTTTGATCAAGTCATGATTGATTGAGTAGGTGTTTTACGACACTATCGACCCAATTTGATCAAGTCAGTTAACACTAACAGCACCAACAAAGTGCAAGAAATATTACAGAATAAAAAATTTACTCCAACAACTTCACACTCAAACTCAAAATCAGCAGAAAGCTCTTCCCACACCACTCTACCCCTGCAACCCCCCCTTCACCCCCCCCCCCCAACAAAAAACTACACTGCCCCCTCAACTACCTCCCGCCATGGCCATGGCAATACCTACAAAATTCTACTCTGAACCTAGCCTATCCACCTAGCTCCCTATCAACCTATCTGCCTATCTCTTCTGCCCCACTGCGTCACTTTAAGCCTGAGTGTGATATACGGAAATCGTAGCAACAGAGCACTGTGAGACCTGTTTGACCAGAAAAGTGGCTAGACCTTCTGTTGTCACCAAAGTTTGCACTGAACGTAAGGAACAAAATCTCTCATCATTCTATATCAGTAACATTGTTTCTAAGTAGCTTCATTACAAAATCTCCATCTGGACATCACACAAGGAATATTGTTTTCTTGAGTCTTTTCAAGGAATATTGTTTTCTTTAGTCTTTGCTGGTTTTTACAGCACTATCAACACAATTTATTGTACGGTGAGCTGGCCTCCGCAAAGTAAGTGCAAGGGCATCCCCATCTTCGTTCAAAGATGTGTGCAAGCGAGATATGAAATCGCTTGATATGGGCTCTTAGGTGGGAGACACTGGGAGCTGGTCTCATCAGAGGTGAAGCCCGACTGCGACAGGCAGCTGAGGACAAACGTCATCACCGAAAGAACAGCCAGAGGCTACCAACGCAGGAAGACACCACTCACAAGTGCAGCCACGGCTACAGGGACTGCCATTCTGTGTGGACCTGTTCAGCCACAGCAAGCGCTGCTCTCGAACCTTAAATCTCCTACGGCGCAGATCCATAGTATCCTGAGACTGAAGGATGCCATGCCATCAACACAATTTTCACATGAGAGAAATAAAACAGCCAACTGTTAAAGTAGTCCATGGTAGTCATCTGGAGGAATTGACATGTCTATTCCAGAGAGCTGCATGTTGATGCCTGGCAATTGTCTGTTAGTTCTTGAATGACTAATTGAAGAAAATTTGTTTCACGGTGCTATTGGCACAATTTGATCATGTTAGCACAGCACTCATTTGGCTGGATGTCATGTGCAGAGCGGGGATGTTACAATCCAGGGTGAATGGAAGGTCCTTCCCGTCAGGGCATGGTATCTGCTTCTTTGATAGCTGTTAACTGTTGGCTTGGCATCTTTCTAAGAAAAATATATAAGGTAGAGTGAGTTACTAATTTTGAATAAAGACAATGTACATAGCTGCAATAATGGTCACTTAGCGCACACAGGAGAAATAAAGTTATGGAGAAAAAGAAAAAAAAGGAATGACCCTACAAAGGCATTCTCCACCCAACAGCTATAAGAAATAGTAGTAGTTTTTGATGGTGTATATTTTAACGAGGCAATTTTTTCATGTAAGTGCCAACTACAGAGTTTCCTAAAATCTGCCTTTCATAGCACTTATTAAAAGGACGGGCAGACATTTTTTTAAAATCTGAAAGTACATATGTTTTAAAACTGTTCCTTTATTTTTTCTTAAGAACTTACATCAGAATAGTTTGTTAATTTTTCAAAGTAGAATAAGGGTCGCTATAAAATTGTTTACTACCGGTTTAAAAAGACAGACATTTATAAAAATCTGTCAGTATAATTATGTTTTATCATTTACCCTTTCCACCTAAGTGCCAAATTAAAACTTTTAACTTTAAATCGGAAAAGCCGATTGGTATTTTTTAAAATTTTACTTCAATAATAAATGAACAAATAGTGTTCCAAGACATATTTCCCTGACAAATACCTCCTGTAGATGATCCTGTCTGTGGGTGCTCCTCCCGCTAGTCCTCCTGTCCTATGATGGTCCTGGGGATGAAGATGTGTCAATTAATAATATCCTCTTGATTCTATACAATTATTGTAACTGTTTCAGAAAATAAAAAGAGTCACGTTTCAATATTTTTTACTACTAGTTTCCGAATGGCACCATGCAGAAGAGTTAACGCTCAGATGCTACTGGATCGCTAACTACTACTAGTTTAAAATACCAGAAGGACATTTATAAAATCTGTCAGAATATACGTTTTATTATTTTTCCTTTTCACATAAGTGCAACCCCCCCCCCCCCCCCCACAACAAACTTTCACCTTGAAATTTTAAAAAATGGAACTTTTTTTTCAAATATTACCTTAATAATTAATAAAAGATTTTCCAAAACATATTTCCCAGACAAATAACTCTTGCAGATGCTCCTCCGGCTGGTCCTCCTGTCTGCGGCTGGTCCTAGTGATGAAGACGTCAATTAATACAATCGTCTTACATCTATGGGCTAAAGTTTTGTATTTTTGATTCAGAAAATAAAGACTCGTTATAATATTATCTACTACCAGTTTAAAAGGACATAAGGACATTGATAAAAACCTGTCAGTAAATACATTATGTTCTCTTTTCACCTAAATGCCATTAAAAAAAAACCCAACAAACTTTCACCACCAAATATTTTTTAAAGCCACAAAATTTATTTTTCTAATTTTACTTTAACAATCAACAAATAATTATCCAAGACATATTTCCTAAACAAATACCTCCTGTAGATGCTCCTGTCTGTGGGTGCTCCTCCGGCTGGTCCTCCTGTCCGCGGCTGGTCCTGGTGATGAAGACGAGTCAATTAATACAATCGTATTGCAACTATACAGTTTGTAATTTTGCTTGAGAAAATAAAAACAGTCGCTATATTTTCTACTACCGGGTTTAAAGGCCAGAATAACAGTTATAAAAACCTGTCAGTATACCAGCATACGTTTTATTATATTACCTTTTCACAGAAATATTTTTTTTAAACTTTCACTTTGAAATTGAAAAAAAAGCTAAACCAGCAATTTTCTAATTTTACTTCAACAATTAATAAATAATGTTTCAAGACATATTTCCCAGACAAATACCTTCTGTAGATGCTCCTGTCTGTGGGTGCTCCTCCGGCTGGTCCTCCTGTCCGTGGCTGGTCCTGGTGATGAAGACGAGTCAACTAATACAATTGTCTTACGTCTATACAGTTTACATTTTTGTTTCAAAATATAAAAAGAGCGGTTATAATATTGTTTACCACCAGTTTAAAAGGACAGAAGGTCATTAATTTTTAAAAAATTCAGTAATTACATTTTATCATTCTCCCTTTTCATCTAAATGCAGCAATAAAACGTTTACCTTTAACAAATAAAAAACCTATAATTATAATCAAATAATGTTCCAAGACATAGTTCACCCCCCAGGGCGGTGCTACTGACTGAAGTGTCTTTAGGCCATTCCCAAAGGGGGGACATAAACCCATGTTCTTATGAATAGTAGAATTGTAATTTGTAAATCAGTTGATTCATCCATGTCATGCTCATAACTGTGACTGGACTGCAAGAGGGAACTGCTGCTTTTTCTTTCCCAATCCATACTATTGTCATTTTTCTCTAGTTCTTTTGTATGTCGGTCACACTCTCGTGACCCGCTATTTCAGGGGTGCTTTGATAAAGCAGACTGTGCTGTTGAAGCTTGAAAGGTGGGCAGAAAAAGTATGATTCCCTGTAAGGACTTCTTTGTTGACATCCACCCCTTGGCGCTCATATGACCTTAAGCAGTTGCGAGCGCCTTAAAACCTCTACTGAAACAAAGTAAACAAAAAAGACAAAGTTCCCAGACTAATACCTCTTGTTAATGTCCTGTCTGCGGGTGCTCCTTATGGTGGTCCAGGTGGTCCTTAAGGAACAGTCCTGTATACACGCCACTCCAACATCATCACACTCAAACTCAAAATCAGCAGGAAGCTCTACGCACACCATTCTACCCCTGCAACCTCCCCCCCCCCCCTCACTTCCCCCCAAAAAAAGAAAAACCTACACTGCCCCCTCAACTACCTCCCGCCATGGCCATGGCAATATCTACAAAATCCTAGTCTGAACCTAGCCTATTCACCTAGCTCCCTATCAACCTATCTGCCCATCTCTACAGCCCCACTGCTTCACTTCAAGCCTGAGTGTGAGATACGGAAATCGTGTTGTCTGTGGGTGGTCATCCGGCGGCTGGTCCTGGTGATGGTAATACAATCGTCTTACATCGATACATACAGTTTGTATTCTTTTTGCGAAAAAATAAATTGTTGATAAAATATTTTTGCTACCGGTTTAAAAAGCATCAAAGACTTAAAAATTTGTCCAAAAAATGATTCATCTTTTTCCTTTTTTCACCTAAACATTAAAAAAAAAATGTTTACCTTGTACTTGTAATCAGAAAAACCAATAGGTATTTTTCTAATTTTACTTTAATAGTAAATTACCAAATGTGAGGTAGCGCGGTGGAATCAGGCTCTCGTCAGTTTTTGAGCATGTTGAGTTATTGGTATAATCTTAAAGGTTGTTTATTCGGGCGAAAGAAATATCCATTTATTATGAATACAAGTCGAGATAATTGCGAAAGAAAGAGGTGGGAGTCACCTGTTTTCAGAGGCAAAATTAGTGAGAAAATGGCCGCCAAAGATTAGCTATTTCCTTAGCTTGAGAGTCCGTTGTAACTTAAAATTCACATTTTTTGTGCCTTTAATCAAAGTTTTTCAGAAAAATTCACACAAAAATGAGTTCTTTAATGAGCATGAAAGGTGTTGAGCCAAAAAACAAAAATTTGATAAGAATTCACAAACCTGCGAAAAAATGCAATTTTTTTCACTTTGATTATTTTGACGAGAGCCTGATTCCACCACGTTGCCTCACAAATACAGTCGAACCTGCCCTGACGGCCACATGTACAAACGGCCACTTTTCGGGTTTTTTCTATATAATTTAACTGTGTAAAACGCACCTGTCCGACGCTGCCGCGGCCACCATATTTTAATACACAACCCTATCACACCAAACAACAAAACTGGTCTTAGACGGCCACCTCAGTGACTCTCTTACGTTTTGTCATAAATTGTGCACTGGCCCCTGGCGTTGTGGGGGGATCCGTCATAATTAAATCACCTGTCGTTGTTGTTGTTAATGTCCCTCCAACTCCAACTGATCATGTTGCGTAGGCCCCCTCCCACTTGACCAATAGGTAACAAATTTTCATCTGCTGGTGGTGTAAGCGTGTGATCCCTCATAACCCATAAGCCCCGCCCAAAACTCATACAAAAATCGTGAAATGAGTGGTCACTGTTTACCCAGTCTGTAACAAAGTAACAATGGACGTCACCATGAACTTGTGACAGAAGCGTCGCTTGTTCTCCTCGTGGTGGCGACCCATTTGTTTGTTTTACCATAGCACTTGGTCCTCCTTGTCTGACACGTCTCGTTTCTTTGTCGCCCTCGCAAAAAAACCAGCAACAAAAGAAAAAAAAAACAGCGAAAAAACAGCAACAACAATAACAACAACATAACAACAACAACAATGCAGCTACTTTCGAGAGGCCTCAGAAAGGAATGGTTTGTTTTCTTCATCTTGATCAGTCCTGCCCAAGACACCACCTGTCTTATACGACCACTTTTCTCCTCGACAATGGGTGGCCGTCTTATACGGGGTGCCCACGACAGCTGGATCGGGCCGATCACCCGACTCGATCGCCTGAAACTGAAAACAAACATGTTTGTTTTTGAGGCGATCGTGTCAGGCGATCGGCCCGATCGGCCGATCCCGTCGTAGTGGGCACCCCGTATAACACAGGTTCGACTATTACCAAATAATGTTCCAAGACATATTTCCCAGACAAATACCTCCTGTAGATGCTCCTGTCTGTGTGTGCTCCTCCGGCTGGTCCTGGTGACGGAGACGAGTCAATTTATACAATTGTCTTGTGTCTCTACAGTTTCCATTTTTGTTTCAGAAAATAAAGAGTTGATATATTTTTACTACTGGTTTAAAAGGACATTAATAAACATCTGTAAGTAAATACGTTTTTTATTTTCCTTTTCAGCGAAATGCAATTAAAAGCCTTACAGCTTGAAAATTGTTAAAAAATAGATTAATTTATTTTTCTAACTTCACTTCAATGTTTGATTACATTATGCTATTTGCACTGGGACATCTGACTGCATTTCATAGAAAGACAGAACAAAATGGTTCGGCCACCTGTTACGTATGTTACCTAGCCAGCCAGCCTTGAGAACCTATAACACCAAGCACTCAAGCTATACTATAAAGGAAGAGGAAGGCCACACAAAGGGTGGATTGAAGTTGTCAAGGAAGCCCTGATAAATCATAGTATCCGAACTGAAAGAGCTGCGGAGCTGCCCTACCATAGAAAACTGCATCTCCCCTCTAGGCATAATGGCAACAGAGGATGAAAAAGTAAAAGTAAGTAATTGATCAACAATGTTACAAGACATATTTCCCAGACAAATACCTCCTGTAGATGCTCCTGTCTGTGGGTGCTCCTCCGGCTGGTCCTCCTGTCTGCGGCTGGTCCTGGTGACGTAGACGTGTCAATTAATACAATCGTCTTACATCTATATAGTTTCCATTTTTCTTTCAGAAAATAAAGAGTTGATATATTTTACTACCGGTTTAAAAAGACATTAATAAAAAATATGTCAGTAAATACGTAGGCCTCTTATTATTTTCCCTTTTCACCTTTAAAACTTTTACCTTTAAATCAAAAGAACCAATAGATATTTTTCTTTTTTCTTTTTTTTGGTAGAGGTTTTACGGCGCTCACATCTGCATAAGGTCATATGAGCACCATGGGGTGGATGTCAACAGAGAAGTCTTTACGGGGAATCGGGCTTACTCTGCTCACCTCTCTGGCTTCAACAGCACAAAGTCTCTTTCGACTTTCAAAGCACCCCGGAAATAGCGGGTCATAAGAGTGTGAGAAATATATTTAAAAAAGTAGAGGAAAATGACGATAGTAAGGATTAGGAAAGTAAAAGCAGCAGTTCCCTGTTGTAGTTCAGGCACAGTTATGAGCATGACATTGTTGAATCAGCCCTTTTACAATTCTACTGTACATAAGAACTGGAGTAGGGTGAGACTCGTTAAATCAGTGTCCGTGAGTAACGAAGTGCTCGCTGGCACTACCCGCAAACAAGCGGACAGGTAACGAGCCATCCACTTGTGAAGAGTAGTTCGCTACTCATCGGACAGAGACAACAGTTCGTCTAGCCAGCGAGCGGACGGGTGGATGGAGAAACTCCATGTATTCAAGCAGGTAGACAGACGGACGGGGAGTGACTCCTATTGCATACTATTTACACCCTGCCCCCCTCGTAAAAAATTCGTAAAAAATTCCCCCTCCTGCCCCACATTGTAGCTAGGTGTTCATTCTGGAAATTTTTTTATTTTGCTTTAATTACAAATTAACAAATAATGTTCCAAGACATATTATTTTCCAGACAAATACCTCCTGTAGATGCTCCTGTCTGTGGGTGCTCCTCCGGCTGGTCCTCCTGTCCGTGGCTGGTCCTGGTGATAAAGACCTGTCGATTAATACAATCGTATTGTATCTATACCGTTTGTAGTTTTGTTTCAGAATATAAAAGAGGGGATATAATATTTTTACTACTGGTTTAACTCATTAACTATGTCTGGACAGTGGCAGCGTCCGTCAATCGAGGTCCATTACTATGGCTGGACCGATGCGAAGTCATTATTGTATTATGGTACGAGCCGA